GCTGGGTGTGGCCCCCAAACAAACATAATGATGGGCTCTGGATATGGATAGGGAAGCTCTGGGGCACTGGGTGAGGGGTTGGCAAAACTTCGGCAAAGGGACAGATTGTAAATCCACTCGGTGTGGTGTACCCTCCGTCCACAGCACTCCATGTCCACTCTCTCGCACGGATGCAGCCAGAGACACCAGACCTCAGAGATGGAATGGGCACGTGTTTCCAAGCTTCCACTGCTTCTATCCAAACTATTTGCTGCCCAGTCTTGTACCCTCTTTTGACTGGGCGGTGGGGTGGCGGGTCAATGTCTGTGCCGTATTTTGTTGCTTAGCTAGTAGTAGAATCCAGACTAGTTGGAGAACAGTCTTGCTGTGTGGGCAAGGCACATACATCACCTTGACCTTCCAAAGAATTGTGTACAGATGGAATCGGAGCAGACACAGACATCTGGTGGACCAGATCAGATCACAATTCTGACATCTGCTGCCTGCCAGGGGGTGCTGGGTTGGATTTTCTCACTGTCTCAGGCACTGTTAAAGATCTGTCTAGCTTTCCACCCCAGGGTTTATTTTGTGACTTCCCGTTGGGTAGCTATTTGTGTTTCTGAGTTCCTGTCATGCCCAGTGTTTAATGTGGGTTAGGTAAGTGGCCTTGTCTTATGGACACCTTTATTCCTCGTGAAAGTACTCACAGTGCTTTTCAGAGACTAAATGAGGTATCGTCTAAGCCAGCTTCAGCTCTGCTGGGCCTGGGTTTATCTTTCCTCTCACTGAGGTTTTAAACAGTCAGGACTGTTGACATCATTGGTGAATTGACTTCCTGTGTGTACTTCATGGCAGAGTCTCATCATGGGGGCTGGTATTTGGATGATCCCCACATTGAGTGTACAGAACAGGAAAATTACGTTTATTCCCATCACTGTCTTTCTCTAAAGATTCTAGTGACTCAAGGAGATTTTTATTAAATAATCCAGGATGAAGTGATAGGATGGTGGGGAGGGCTCTTGTCTTGCATCCCATAGGATCCCTGAGCCTGCCAGCAGTGATCCCTGAGCTCAGAACTGGGAGTAAGTCCCGAGCACCACAGAGAGCCCCAACTCCATCCTCCACAAAAGGGTCACTATAGTCACGCTTACCTGCTCCCACTTGTTGCCAGTTTTTAATAAACTGTGTTCTTGTAGATGGACAGCTGTAAGCAAGTATCTTCCTCTGCATTTGTATTTCATAAGGAAGTATGCAAAGTTTCCAGTGTTAAAATCAGCAACACTTGTCTGAGAAATGTTGTTGCTGTTTTCATCTTGTTTTTGGGTCACACTAGTTTGTGCTTGAGACTAACTCCTAGTCCTGTGCTCAGTGGTGGTGCTCAGGGGATCCAATGAGGTACTGGGGATCAGCTGCATGAAAGGCCAATGTCCTACCCACTTTACTCTCTGGCCCCTAAGAAAGAGTTTTATGAGTCATGCGAATTTTATGCAGTTTCTCAGGCAAATTTCCCCAAATTTCATGCAAATTTACCTCATGCACAAATCCCCTATTCCTGAACATTTGTAGGCAGATGGCCTTGTTAAATTAAGTAATAAAATTTTAAAATTGGTGACATTCAAAATCCTTTCTTGTGGAACCTTCAAAACAATTTCTTGGGAATGGTTAAAAATAGTATCTAATGGGTGAACCGTGGTAAATCCATACAATGGATTAGAATCAGTGCAGAATCAGTGTTTTTTATTCTTATTATTTCACCCCCCCATTAATGATCACTTGTATCACTTGTCATCCCATTGATCATAGATTTGCTTGATCGGGCACCAGTGACATCTCCATTCATCCCTGTCACGTACTAGTGTAGCCCAATGGCGTCTGTTCGCTCCAGAAACATGAAGAGCCTCAGACCGTTTGTTCAGGTTTTTGATTAAGAAGTCTGACCATCTCTTAGGTGGGCAGCCACGTGTTCTTTTGACGTCCCATGGAATCCAGTCATCATCTCTAAATTGTATTACTTGTCTGGCCCATCTGATTTTCAACGCCTTGGCAAACAAGACTGCGTTCCTGGTTCTTGATCGTTGATGGAGGTCGGAACTCTGGATTCCTTCTCTCACTTGAGTGAAACGTGATATTCCAAGCATAGCTCTTTCGATTCCTCTTTGGGAGACCCGAATATGTTCTTGTCTTGTTTTTGTAGGGCCCAGGTCTCTGAGGCGTATGTTAGTGCAGGAAGAATGGTGGAGTCGAAAAGATGTGCCTGAAGCCGGAGGTTCTTCGTCCTCTTAACCACTTAACCGTTAATGATATTTAAAATTATTTGCATATCCTCTATGTTTCCTTGGGAACAATTTGTTGGAAATGATTAAAAATCCTGTACTTAGTGGATAAACAGACTATTTTATGTCTGTACAGTGGAATACTGCCGACTATAAGCCTTGGGTTTTTATTTATGGAATAAGCAAGCCACTGATAACAGACACCAACTTGGGTGTGTTTTGAGGCATGATGCAAAATGGGATATGTCAGCATCAAAAATTTTGCATGCTGTCTGATTCCATTAATAGGATAGTCTGGAAAAGGTAAACCTACCTGATAAAATTAAGATCTGGGATTCCCATGCATTAGGGGTCAGGGAATGATCTGATCTCATATTAAAATATCAAAACTTTTGCGTGTAAGGGCATGGGGGAGTGATGAAATTATCCTTATTGTGGCCACACAGAGCATACGTGTGTTGAATTGACATCATAGTCCTGGGCACGCAAGCAAGCCAAGCAAAATCAGTTTTGCTCTGTGCTCCTTTATCCAAAGGTGAAATTGAAATTGCCAAAACCAAACCCAGAGTGCTTGATAATCGTAAGAACCTTGATAGAGGGTGGGATTTTCTTTTTGACTTTTTGTTTTGGTTTTGGGGCCACGCCTCACTCAGCATTGCTCAAGACTTACTCCTGACTCTGCACTCAGGAATCACTCCTGGTGGTGCTTGGGGGACCCTATGGGGTACTTGGGACTGGATGTGGGTCGGCTGTGTGCATGGTGAGCACCCTTCCTGCTGTGCTACCTCTTTCGTCCCTTTTCTGGTCTTTCTTTTTTTTTTTTTTTCTGTTTGGGTTCCACCTGGCGGTGCTCAGGGGTTACTCCTGGCTCTGCACTGAGGAATTACTCCTGGTGATGCTCGGGGGGAACCATATGGGATGCTGGGAATAGAACCCGGATCGACCGCGTGCAAAGCAAACACCCTACCCACTGTGCTATTGTTCCAGCCCCATTTTTTGGTCTTCTGATGAGAGTGAAGGTTCAGAAGTTGCTGAGGACGAAACATCAATCGACGTCACCATGTCCACAATACGCCCGCACTGGTTTTACAAACTTAAATGAGCAGGATGAAGCGCTGGACCGTGTCAGACCTTCAGCTGTGTGCAGATTGCAGGGCCCCCCCCCTTCATAGCTGGGGCCCCCTGGGAGCCATAACTTGGCCTTCCCCTGCTTTTTCCCCTCACACGTTTCTGCGCCGCTTTATGGCGTTCCTTGTTCCGTGCTTGGTGTTTATAAACGAGATGCGACAGTTACAATAACTGAGGGAACCATAACTTGAAGTTCCAGGGGAAAGCAGCAGTAATGTTGAGTTAATGTCACTCTTCACGTTAATCTCCACACTGGGTGACTCAGTGGCCGACTTCCTGCCTGTCAGCAGCATGAGGCTCTGCATGCATTTGGACCACCTGCTCGTGGTGGCGCTCACGGGGGACGGATGTCACTTCATGAACATTGTCACCCAGTCTCGGGAGCCCCCCGGGGAGAGAATGCATGCGGTGTGCTGGTCTGAGGATGGAGGTGTTAAAAAATATAGTATGAGACTAATATCCAAGGCCAGGGAAAACAGGGGCCAGGAGGACTGGTCAATGTTTGGAAGCTTGTCACAGTGTGTGTGTGTGTGTGTGTGTGGGTGGGGGGGATGAAGGGCAGTTAGGATAGAGAAGGGACCAGCATGACAATACTAGTTGGAAATGGTCACTCTGGACAAGAACTGAGTGTCAAAAGCAGGTAAATGGATATATGCGATAATCTTTTAGTATCTGTGTTGCGAACCCTAATGCCCCAAAGGAGAGAGACAAAGATGGAGAGACAGAAGACGGGTGGGGAGGTGGAGAGAGAGAGAGAGAGAGAGAGAGAGAGAGAGAGAGAGAGAGAGAGAGAGAGTGTCTGCCATAGAATCAGGGGAGGAGGCAGGGAGCAGGAGGGGAATTGGGGACATTGCTGTAGGGAGTTAGAACATGATATGATGGAAACCCAATCGTGAACAACTTGGTAATTTTATGTCACTATGATTTAATTATAAAAGAAAAGATGTATTTTTTTTTTTTTGGTTTGGGGGCCACACCTGGCAGTACTCAGGGCTTTCTCCTGGCTCTGCACTCAGGTGCTATTCCTGGTCATGCTTGGGGCACTGGGGATGGAACCTGGGTCAGCCATGTGCAAGACCAGCACCCCACTGCCCTCATACCCACCCTCCAAACCTCAACCACCCCCACACGTCCCACACGGCACCTCAGAACCCCAAGGCAGGGCCAGATCTCTTGTATCCCATCAAACCTCAGACCAACGCCCCTTCTACTGCCCGGAGCCGGGTAGGCACTGTTCTGGGTCTCAAGATGCCTTTGTACTTGTCGTCTGGTTCTGTCCACGTCTGCGGCTCCCATCCCCTAGCCCCTCGTGTGGATGGTGGCCTGCCAACGCACAGCACATCTCTGCTTCTCCCACTGCCCACTGGCTGAACCAGCCGGCCTCCCACCCTCCAGCAGGGACAGTGCTGGTTGGCGGCATCAGACCCGCCCGCACCCCGTGAGACAGGCCTGTCCTCATTCTCACCAGTGAAGCCCGGTGCACACCCTGAGTCTGCCTGAGGTGTGCCACGTGGGCCGGAAAGTGGCTGGGACACTCGCAGGTGGGCGGAGGGGAGAGAGCTGGGTGAAGCCTCGCTGCAGTTCTTCCCAGACCTTATTCTGGCCCCATTGCGTTGGCAGGGCCTCTGTGGCAGCGGTGATCTGTATCCCCCGGGGACATCCCAGCATGCGGACGAGCCAACGGTGAGTGGTGCGCCTTGATGGAGCAGCAGCCCTGGATGCAGCCGCCCTCTGCTTGGTCCTCCTGCTCCCCTTCTGCCCTCCAGCCACCGATTAAGTGCCTCTCTTGCATGCGGCCAGCTGGGTTCAGTCCCCACATCGCGTCCACCAGGCACTGCCCCAACTGACCCCTGAGCACTGCCAGGTGTGGCCTTAAAACAACAACCAAAAAAGCAGTGCTTGCAGCTTCTTAGAGTGGGGACAACAGAGGGAGGACTCCTAGCTGGCAGAGGAAGCACCCCCCTCCCCCCAGAGGAAACCATCATCCTGTCCCCTCCAGTCAAGCGCCATTTCTGACACTGTGGCCCTGAAACCCAGACAAATGACCGAACTTCCTCTCTGCCCGTGCAGATGCAGGAAGAAGCTGGCGAGGCTGTGGGCAGCCTCCCAGGCCCCTTCGCCTACCTGCTGACCATCCACCTGAAGGAGGGCCGGAACCTGGTCATCCGCGATCGCTGTGGTAAGGCCCCGTGTCTGTCCCCGCAGCATGCAAATCTCTCCCTCTGCAAATCTCACCTTCCTGGTCCCCACACCGGCAGCCACCAGGGGGCACCTGCAGCGCACAGGCCAGTCCTGGTGTGGAACCCGGATCGTCCCCAGCAGTGGCCTGTGAGAGCAGGTGGCCGCATCTGTGGCTGTTTGTCCCATCCCAGACTGGAGCATTCTTTTCCGTGGCCGTTCGTCTTGTCCCAGACTGGAGGAGTATTTTTCCGTGGCTATCCTTTCTGTCTAAAGACTGAAGCCATTTTTTTTTCATGGTCTTTCATCCCTGTTGCAGACTGGAGTGGTTTTTCTGTGGCCATTTGTCCCAGTGGCAGACTGAAGCAGTATTTCCGAGTCTGTTTGTCTCCATCACAGACTGGAGCAGTTTTTCTGTGGCCATTTGTCCCACTCACAGATTGGAACAGTTTTTTTTTTTTCATGACTGTTAATCCTGTCTCAGACTGGAGTGTTTTTTTTCTGTGGCTGTTTGTCCCATCCCAGACTGGCACAGTTTTCCCAGGGCCATCAACTTTGCAGGTGGAATGCAGATTCTAAACCATGCTGTGTCCTTCTGCATGCCCCCCCCACTGCCTTTTCCTGAATTCCTGGAAATACATCCTGATTTTTCAGGCCAGAGTTTCCTTCTGCTCTCATCACCTTTTTGTATCACCCAGCACCTGGGATCTGAAAGGAATGAACCAGAATGGCCTTTTCCTACTCCTTGGCTAGTGGCGGTTCCCATCTACAAACATCTGTGATCAAAACACACACCACAAGGCACCCGTGTGCACCTGTGTGCATCACCCCTATTTTGAATGATGGGAGGCAGGAGCATTTCATCACCGAAATAGCGGAGAAGGGGCACCGTGGATGCTGGGATTCGCAGAATCTCCTGCCCTGTGCCCCGCTGGAGCCTGTGGTGGGCAGTGGTCACCTGGGCGAGCTCGTTGTTGTGACCTGAGGCTTGAGGTGGGCTCATGGGAGATGGAGTGGCTTTCCCGAGGAAGGACGTGGCCTCCATCTTGGGTACGCCCGCCTTGCCTTGGCAGTTCGGCAATTTCTCTGTGTGGTGTGCATGGATTTGTCAGGGCTGTGCACAAGTTCTGCCCCCCAGCCCCCCATCTGGGTTTCCTGACATTTCTGGCTCTTTCTCCACAAATGGTCATGCCTCAATGAATCACTCTGAGGAGATTACCACAGCAGAGTTAGGAGGGTTCCCTCCCGTTGCCCAATTTGTGGGTGATGAAGAAATCACTGGGAGCCTCCAGTAATGGGGTCCATGTGCCCTGGGCACCCCCATTCACTGTGTCCAGGCCCCAAACTCCCTCAGGTCTAACCTCAGCCCTCTACACAAATTGTGGGGTTTTGTGCTTTACGGGTGCCTTGGTTTCGTTTTCTGTAAACACGTCTTAATCCCACTCTAAATCCTTCATTCGATGTTGAAGCCATCATGTTCCAACAACTTTTTACTTTGTAAAGAGTTAAGTCTTCTGACTTTTTTTTTTTGAGGGAACCATACACAGCGGTGCTCAGGGATCACTCCTGCCAGTGCTCAGTTACCCTGTGGGGTTCAAACATGGCTCAGCTGCATGTGAGGAAAATACTTTAACCTCCATCTTATCTCTCTAGTGCTGAAACATTCTAGTTTTAAATAACAATGGTACAGACAGTGATTTTCTGTTCGGGTGAGGATGCTGGGCCAGTGTTTCCTGGAATGGATCACTGCGTGGGGGTGTGAATGGTGGATGGTGTGACTCAGTTACCCAGTCTCCATGTTTTAAATATTAGGGGGGGAAAGCTGCCCTCACTGAATCATTCTCCGTTCAGGAAAGAGTTGAGTGTTTTCTTTGGATTGGGACATCATCGTCTGGGCCATGAGTTGGCAGACCCGTTGTTACGGAGCTGGAGAATATTTTAGGGGTTATGGGCTTTGTGGGTTCAGGGACAGGTGCCCAGCACTGCAGGGCATCCCCAGGCACCCCTGAATCATGGGTGATGGGACAGGCCATGGGCAGTGTCCATGACAAGTTTCTTGACAGACAAGCGGAATGTGGGTTTCCCTTGTAGGCATAAATGCAGAATTTCAGTGCGAGGACATGAAAGGATGTAAGAAAACCCAGACCTGGGGCTGGAGCGATAGGACAGAGGGGAAGGCACTGGCCTTGCACGTGGCCAACCCGGGTTCAATCCCTGGCACCCTTTAGGGTTCCCTGAGCGCCAGCAGGAGTGACCCTCTTGCACAGAGCCAGAAGTGAGTTCTGAGCACCGCCAAATGTGACCCCAAAGCCAAAACCAAAAACCTGGATGTGTCAAGCACTAGATTTCTGTGTTCCTTTTCTACGTGCCCACAGGGAGGAAAGAGAAAAGCGGAGACTGGGGTCCCTATCTCGCTGCCCATAAGAAAGGGTTGAGTCAAGGGGCTAGGGGCTTTGTGGTTGAAGATTGGTCCTTATCTAGCCCCTTTGGAAGCACCTTTGGAGCAGGGGACCCCTCTGAAGTCTGAGGGCACCCCCTCCACCTGGCTGGGAGGCCATTCGCTGTTGCTGGGATGAAGTGACCATAAAGGTTCTTACCAGAAGTGCTCATGTCGTTCTTGTGCACTGCTGTGGCTTGAGATTTCCTGGGGCATATGGGAAAGTGTGTTCAAAGATGGCAGCTAGTGACTCCCTGGATGGAAGCGAGACCAGGCCCCCAACCCCAGCTCAGAGCCAGGAAAAATCCTGAGCTCGGTAGGAGGTTTAGGCAGATATAGCTGGCCCTCTGACTGTGATATTTGGTGTCAGCAGCACCAACCTATGAGTGAAATGTGTGTGTGCGTAAAATACATGCGAGAGAGAGAGAGAGAGAGAGAGAGAGAGAGAGAGAGCGCGCGCGAGAGAGATGCATGTCTGCATGTCTGTGTGAGCAGGAACATGCATGCACTCACGTGTGTGTACATGTGTGCGTACACACAATATGTGTGCCTTTGTTCACGTGCATGTATGTGCACATCTGTATATGTGTGCACGTGCAAATGTGTTTCATGCATGAGTGCAAGCATGCATTCGTTCCTGGAAAATAACCACCATTGCCTTAAGGGCATCCCGTTTCCATCCCTTGATCTGGAAGAGGAGGAAGTTGATAGTGGGCTCCAGGTGCAGATGCCTGTGCTCGTGGTGCCCTCTGCTGGCCAGCCTGCGGTATTGCAAAAAGGGAAAGCGATCCTTTGATGGGCTAACCCGCTTAAGATAAGGGAGGCTCAAGGAGTTAAAGGCTCTCTTAGCGTTATAAACTCCACTTAAAATTGATTAAAGTCTCATTCTTGTAAAAAAAAATAATAAAGGCTGATCGCCTTTCTGAGGCAGCTTGTAGCTGGTGAGAATTCCCACCCCGTTCACGCAGCCAGCTACTCTGTCTCCCTGGCCCAGCACAGGTGTTTATTTCCAGAGCAGAGTTAACCGGGATTTGCACAGGGACAGTTTGGGTGTCGGAAGCACACCCAAAAGAAAGACGCACACCCAAACACTCTCTGTGTGCGTGTTTGGAAATGTCCTTTCCAGATTGGAGCTGAATGTTTCCCTGCCCGCCCCCCCCTCAACCCCCCCTCCGTCTGACAGAGCCCCCGCTGGGGACAAAAGCCACCTCTCCTTTTATATTTAGCTCAGAGCCAAATTGTCCTGAAACATCCATCTCCGGATATTCCCGGTGACAGTAGCTGATACATCTCCTGCTTGCTGTTCTCCCCTTTCTTGTCTTCTGCTCCCTTTTTGTTGCTAGAATCGGGCATTTCAGGACACAGCCGTCTTTCTGGGTGGACATTTGTGTTTGAGGGTTGTGGGAGAGGCACTTAGAAGCTGGGGTGAGGGCTTAGAGCTTTGGCCTGACCAGCATGAGACCCAACGCCCTGTCGTCCCCTCAACTATGGGGTTTGCATTGCTGGGGGTGGCTGGTGGTCCCCAAAACTTATGTCACTGCTGGGCATGTTAGAATCACAAATAATACAAATTCCAAAGAGGGCCCGGGAGGTTAGGGCACATGCCTGGCATGCTCAGTGCTGGTGTTGGGTCCTGGTCCCTCATGGCCCTCCAGGCATGGCTGAGGGTTCCCCAGTGATCCCCCCCTGACACCGCCTGAACAGTGCTCGGGAGCATCTCCAGATTGTAATAATGACGGTCTTACATCAGGCCCAGAGAGATGACTTCCTGTATGGTGGCTTGGCGTGTCAGATCTATGCTGGAGGCCAAGGGGCAAGCTTGTGGCTTCCATAGGGAAGCTCTGGGTGGCGGGGGGGAGTCGTGACTGGGGTGCTGGGCTTGCCCAGGTCCTCCCTGCCCCTGACAGCCATTATCATTGTCATGATAGGAAGTGTCTGGGGATGCCGGGCAGGGTGACCTGAGTGCCGACCCTCTACTCGGACTCATTGGGCCCCCTCTGGGGATATGGCGAGGGTGACTGGGCTTCTCACCGCGGGTCCATGCAATGCCTCTTTCGGTTTCAGCTTCCTCAGCTGTGTTTTTGTGCGGGGGACTTCTGACTCTGTTTTAAAGAAGAAGTTGAGTCCCGTCGTGGGGTTAAAGGGCAGGGACAGAGAAGGTGGGTGAGGGCGTTTCCTGTACCCCTTTCCTGCTGCCTGTTGGTCCCGTAGCAGGAATGTGGGTGAGACTCGCTCTAGCGCTGTTGGAGTGTAGATGCCATTACGGGTTCACTGGGATGATGCGCCCCACCTTTTGGGGTTGCTCTGGAATTGCAGGGGCCCTTCTAAGAGATTCTCTGCCAACTGCGCTGGTGTTCAATCAAGGCCAGGGTTCAAGAAGATGGTCCTGCTCAGGCCCTGCGGTGCTGGGGGCTCCCTGGACCACCTCTCTACTGCACCAAGGCCTCATCTGGCAGTGCTTAGGGGCCTCTGTGCCTCAGGGGACAGAGTCCAGGGTGGCTGCATGCCAGGCGTCACCCCCGTGTTCGCCCCGTCCTCCTCCTGTCTCAGAAAACACCTCTCTG